CACATGAACTTAAGGAAAAATTTCTTAACAGTGAGGGTGACAGAGCACTGGAACAGGCTGCCCAGAGAGGTTGTGGAGTCTCCTTCTCTGGAGATCTTCAAAACCCGCTTGGATGCAGTCCTGCGCCACGTGCTTTAGGTGTCCCTGCGTATGCAGGGGGGTTGGACTAGATGATCTCTAGAGGTCCCTTCCAACCCTAAGCATTCTATGATTCTATGATTCTATGATTCTATGAAGTGCTAAGGAGGTGTCTCTAGTTTAAGGTCATTGTTCCTGCATGCAGCAAAGGGCAGTACCTCAGGGTGCCTCCAACGTCTTGGATGGAAATGAGGATGCGGATTCAGATCCTAATGTTGCAGCTGCCCAGGGCACAGAACTCAGTCTGGTGCAAGACACACTCACAGATGGTGATTGATAGCCAAGATTAGTTCCAAGGGATTATTTAGGACCATCCTGAGGTTGTGCTAACTCATACTAGCTGCCAATAATTAGTTTTGATAAATTTGGACTTGCATATAAGAAATACAAAACCTTTCTCTGTAACAAGCCTTCTAAACCCAGAGTGGAGCCCCCTAAGACAATTCTGTGAGCAGGATTTTTCCCGAGGCCATGGCAGCTCTCCAGCATTTTGCCTCAAATGTCATGTCTCTGCAAAAATTTCCTGATTTATTCTTTTTCACCATATTGCCTCACATTCAGTATTACCCAGTAGGTGTGAGCAAACACAGCAAGTACTGATTTTTGGCTTTAACCCTCTAATTTTTGTGCTGTAGGAGAGTGCTCTTGAAATACTCCTCAGAAACATGGGAGAACTCCACTGGGAGAACATCAGCTAGACTAGCTGGGGGGCTCCAGCTATTAAGATAGAAAGCAAAATAAGTCCTGCAAACTTTCTGGGATCTGCAAAGTTATTATTACCATATGCTCATATTTTCCATGTGCAATTTTAATCTGTCATTTCCTGGTTCTTAGAAACATATCTCTACCAAAGTTTGTGTCAGTTAAAAACCAGGGCAAGTAAATAGATTTTATATGTGACTCGTTTTCATTCACTTTTTTAGGGATCAGATTTGTCTTGATTTTTCAAGCTGCTATAGTTTCACCTAAAAGCTGTGCAGCATTTTAATGGAGCATAATATAAACAAGATAAAAAGAGACACCAAAATGCAGCACGTAGCAATAACAGCTCTATTATTATGCTCTAGAAAAATACAGATTTCTTGAAACAAAACAAAAAAAAGAATACATTTATCAAAAAACAAGGCCAGATTTTCAAAGTCTGAACAGCAGCACATATCTGCAGCACAGATGGTATTAAAATATTTCACTTTTTCATCCTCTAGGGGGAACTATGTTCTCAGCAAATCTGTCTGTGAAGACATTTCTTACTCTACCGCAGGCAGCCCAGCCTGTTCATGCTGGTTGGAGAGAGTCAAGTGATTCTAGATTTGTGCATGATTATTTTGGAGGGGAAAATAGCCTATGTCCGATATAACCTTAGGCCTAAAGGGCTGGTCTGAGTGCTGTGCTCTTGCTGCAGTCATCAGTCAGTCTGCCTGCTACTGATACAGGGCTGCAGGATTTGCTCCTGTTAAAAAGTGTTTATGTAGCTGGGGAAAAAAAAGTCTGTGGAGAAATGTGGGATTTATAAGAATGGAAAATCCTGCAACTGAGCTAATGATGAGGTGGATTAAGAGATATTTTGAATTGTGATTAACAAGTCCATTTTCACACATAATGTTTTTGGCTCAGCAAAAGAAATGAGTCACAGGTTGGAGTTAATTCTTTATAAAAATCTCCTTAAGATGAAGGAGAGCGACTGAGAAGCCTGTGATGCTTCAGGGCCTGCAGAGGCACACTTACCTCTGTAAGGCTGAAGGCAGTTGCAAGTAAGGACCATGTACTGTGGGCCAAATACATTCCTAAAACCATCAAAATTGGTCTTTACACCCCTACTGCGAAATAATAGCGTCCCGATGGCCTTTGCCTGTGTGCTGGTCCTTCTTCTCCCACTCCTGTTGAGTCCCCACGGTGTTTCCCCTTCCAAGGGCAGCAGCCCCATGATTTACACACTTACTATCCCCGTGTTTATCTCCGAATGTTGCCCCAACCTGTGAGCTAGGACAGTATGGGGCTCACGTGTAACATGTAAGTAGATATTCTGGAGGGGGAAGGAGGGAATCAAAAGGGCTGTTTCCAGATTTCAATGCTATAAACACATCTGTAGGGTCACCATAAAGCAGTAACTACAAAGGTCAGCATTTCAAAATGTGCCTTAAGAAAATGTTTTTGCAAGCTCTGTGGTGGAGATGGCTGACCTGTTGTATATTGTAACTTTCTGCCTCATCCCAGCTATGGTATATGTAGTCATTTGCAACAAAAAAAAAAAAAAAAGAAAAAAAATGCCTGACATAACTTACAATGCAGGAACATACAAAATGAGCTTCACAAGGGTGGATGTTTATGTGAGCTTCAAGAACACTCTGAAGCTCAATTCCGTGAGCAAATAGAACTACTTTCAAGGCACATTTAGAGCAGCTTCCCACCTATGAATTTCGCAGCTTTATTATTTTACTGAGCTGTATTATATATACGATCACCCAAGAAGACTTGGTTTGATGCTGCTTTTTGTACACAATGTTATCCGGTGTTTGCATTCCACCTCGCAGCTGCACCCGCACTTCCAGCTTCCTTCTCTTCTCCATCAAGGAATTGCCAAGGTGAGCAGATGGGTCACGCCAGGAGCCCACGTTTCCCTTGCAGAGGTTGTGCGGTGAAAGTGGCAACAAATCAAGTTAACTCATAAGCTCCCTGACAAGGAGCCCGGTGCTGAAGGAAACAAGCCCCTTCGGCAAAGCAAGGAGCAGCTCCCTCTTCTCGCTAGGGCAAACCCAGCACTCAGGACATGGAGTCGAGTCACGCTGCCAAGTGTGCAGACGCATCCCATGCGGGATACGGAGGCATTCTCGGAGTTACGGCCCTCAGGATTTCACCAGCAGAGCACAGGGAGCTCCCACTGGCGCTCTCACGAAATGTTTCACACATTTCACGCTGGTGAGTGTCCGTTTTAAATGGATGATGCCAAAAGCTAACTCGCAGGAGCTTAACAACCAGTGAACAGAGCTCATCAGCAATGTGCTTAGCACGCTGCTGTCGGATAATTTAAAAGTCATTTTATTTTTTTACCTTTATATCCCGCGAAAAACACTGAGCAGCACTGGTCCCCCCACGCCGGATGGGTCCTCACTCCTCGCAGCGGCACGCTGCTGTCGGATAATTTAAAAGTCATTTTATTTTTTTACCTTTATATCCCGCGAAAAACACTGAGCAGCACTGGTCCCCCCACGCCGGATGGGTCCTCACTCCTCGCAGCGGGGAGGGGAAGGGGCGGAAAGCGGCGCCCGGAGCCCTCGGGGGGCTGCGGACAGCGGGGGCGCTCGGGGGGCTCCGCGGCCGCTGCGATGACCCCAGCCCC